AAAGCTGTGGTGTGTGCGATGCCGTCACCCCGAGCTCTTCCCTTTGCTTGCGGAAGTACCTGAAACCAAACTGAAACTGTAAGCACGAAGCTTAGTGAGCTCCCCCAAACTACCACATACCATACAATAACATATAAACACATATTGGGCCTTGCCCACTGCATCGGGCCGAAGCCCGGAAACTGCATCGGACCGAAGTCCGGAACTGACTGGGACCTTGTCCCCTGCATCGGACCGAAGTCCAGAACTAACTGCATCGGACCGAAGTCCGGAACTGACTAGGACCTTGTCCCCTGCATCGGACCGAAGTCCGGAACTAACTGCATCGGACCGAAGTCCGGAACTAACTGCATCGGACCTTGTCCCCTGCATCGGACCGAAGTCCGGAACTAACTGCATTGGACCGAAGTCCGGAACTGACTGACTGAACATGGCATAGCATAACACATCAACTAGCATAACACATATACGACATGCTACATCGGGCCGTGGCCCGGAACACATAATACTTAACACATAAAACATAGCACATAAATCCTGTTCGAGCCACGAAGGCATCGAACATACTAACTACTGCATCGGACCTAAATCCGGAAACTACTGCTAACTGAACGGGCCGGCATTGTGGCCTTAGACCCGTTCCTACTGGAAGGAAACTCACCTCGTAAGCTGGCTGCTGAGTGTGTGGCTCGGGAAGCTAACGGCTGCTGCTCCTGAATCTCCTCGGCTACAAGTCCATAAACACACTCAATCAAATACTAAACACTGCGCTTGGGGTAGAATGACTCTTTTACCCTCGGTCAAAGTCAACTCTCTTTTGGGCTGACTGGCCGAGTTGGGCCACCCAACTCGCCGAGTCCTACTCTCACTTTTCACTCTTACTCGCTGCTACTCGTCGAGTCTGGCATCGAGTCGATGAGTACCCTCTTGATCCAAGAACTCAGACAATCTTCATCCGACTCGCCGAGCCGGATGAACAAACTTGACGAGTTGTTCTTGATCCCAAGAAGATTGCCTTGGACTCGCCGAGTTGATGAACAACTCGCCGAGTCCCTCCATCACTGAGTTCACCCTCAACTCGCTGAGTCCACTCTCTAGCTCACTGGGTTCACTCGACACTGGTAAAAATGAAGGAATCGGGAACTCGCGACCCAACTCGTCGAGTCGTTCTTCCGACTCGCCGAGTTGCCGCCATGCAACTGATTTTTACTTGATTTTGTTTGAATCCAATGCATACAATTGATAGATCTGAGTCCAATAAGCTGATTTACCACGTAAAGTTTCCAACTTTACGTGTACAACCTCATGAATAAGGGAAATAAGGCTAAAAGATGCATAAAATGGGTAGATCTATGGTTATCATGCAATATAACTCCAAAAAGACAGTAGATCTGGGCTCTACAACACCCCAACATTCAGATCCATAGATATTCCGACTTAATAAGACGTTCATGCAAGTGTAAGGCTTGAAACAAGCATCAACTAGCTCTTAGGAGAGCTCTAATGGAAGTTTAAAGCATATAACAAGATGGAACTCCGAAAATACCTCAATTGACTCTGATTTGGCCTTGGATCTTTGCACTACAACACTTCTCCTTGCTTCTTTCTTCTTCTCCTTCTTCACACCTTCACAAAATGGCACCAAAACACATATAAGCTCTTCAAGGGAGGTTTAGGGTTCTAACACTGCGTTCTCAGGGTGAGGGAGGCGAGGATGGGGGCTATAAGGTGGTATAAATAGTGGGCAACCCGGGGATTTAGGGTTTCACCCAGACGGATGGACTCGCCGAGTCCCCGGCTCACGCGTGCTCGAAGACGCGACCCTACTCGGCGAGTCAGGCTAGAACTCGCCGAGTTCCTCTTGAAAACTTACAACAATTACTAATGAATTAACGTACCGGGAATGGATCGTTACAATTCTCCCCCACTTGTCTCAGACTTCGTCCTCGAAGTCTGCTACGGTTGGATCTGCAAATAACTCCGGGTAGTGCGCTCTCATTTCCTCCTCAGCCTCCCACGTCCATTCAGACCCCTTCCGGTGTTGCCACTGCACCTTTACCAGCTGAATTACCTTGTTCCTCAAGGTCTTGATCTTCCGTTCCAGAATCGCGACCGGCTTCTCGATATAATTTAGGCTGCTATCAACCTGAATGTCCTCTAAGGGAACGACTGCTGTCTCATCCACCAAACACTTCCTTAACTGCGACACGTGGAAGGTGTTGTGTATCTGACTAAGCTCCTCAGGGAGATCTAACTGATAAGCAACCCGACCCACCCGGGCCAAAACCCTGAAAGGACCAATAAATCTGGGGCCCAACTTGCCCCTCTTCCGGAACCTGATGACACCTTTCCAAGGTGAGACTTTCAGAAGAACCATATCTCCCACTTGGAACTCCAAGTCCGAACGCCTCCTGTCGGCGTAGCTCTTCTGTCGACTCTGCGCAGTCTGCAGCCTACTACGGACCTGCTAGATCAATTCCGTCGTCTTGAGCACCACTTCGGTGCTCCCTATAACTCGCTGACCGACCTCGCCCCAACAAATCGGGGTCCTGCACTTCCTGCCATATAACATCTCAAAAGGAGGTCGATCAATGCTCGCATGATAACTGTTGTTATACGAGAATTCTGCTAACGGAAGATACGTATCCCAACTGCCCCCAAAATCTAAAACACATGCCCTAAGCATGTCTCGAGAGTCTGAATCGTCCTCTCGCTATGCCCGTCAGTCTGAGGATGAAAA